ATAACAGTTGCCTAAAGCCGTATAACACTCGCTTAAGTCTTGAAGAAGGAGACATGATCGCCGGGACAAGAGTCTCGTGTCTCCTTCTTCAAGACTACTTCCTGGAACTCGTCTCTTTGCTTCTATTGACTCCCTTAAGTATTTGAAGGTCATCAGACAAGACAGGTGGAGTTAGAAACCCCAATGGCGTGAAATCACGGTCCGGCGGGTTGTCCCTGACCTCCACATAGGTCATGTAGGACGTGAAGCAAAGAGTCTTGGTATGTTATATCAGCTGACGTAAGTTAAATCAGTAAGCACAAGGCAGGTGTAAATGACAGGGTGTGAACAGTAATATCTCGCCTTCTGTAGTAAAGAGGGTTCGTCTGCCTTTGGTAGTCTGAAACATACTTTAGGCCATGCGAGGAGAGACTCCATCTCCAGATTACTCATTTAAACAGATCACTTTGTTGGGGCCGTGACTCAAGAGCCACAGCATCGTGAGATCTATTATATAACGTCCCCATGATACTTGCTACATCTTGTGTTAACTAAAATGGTGATTTCCAAACACTTTCCGACTGGTGCCTTTCAACGCTCAGCTGCTTTTCTAAATAGTGCGCGCACGCAGGGCAATTGTTGGTGCTGTGTTTCTTAAAATAGCCCTGCGGAATTTCTTGTCTGTTTCCTGCAAAGAGTCGATCTTTAGGTCACGGCAGCACGCACCATCGGAATGGGAACACGGGCTACCTGTTCCTCAGTGGTTTTGGGACCTCTGGTCTGACATTCTCATCTCATGGATGATCGAACGGTGTGTAATTTGATTCCGTATTAGACACTCGTGAAGTAAACAAGCCGATTAAACTTTTTGAATCTCTAGGATTAGCTTCCGACATATCTCCTTTAGTTATCCAGAAGACACCTAGAACAGAAGAGCTGTGCTTCCAACTGTGCTCTGAAAAGCCCAGCCAATGTCATCTTTGTCGACGGCGTCAGTCGACACGAGTTAGAATTAAGCAGAATATAAAGGGAGCTTCGAGCCCATCGTATGCTACTGATCTCCGAATTGCGGACAGATTTGGGTTCTTAAGCATTTAGGCAGATAGCTAAGAAGGGTAGTTATTTGTGCGGCAAGCCTTCGTATTTTGCCCAATCTCACAAGCCGGACAAGCGAATTGGCAGAGTAAATAACTACAGACGCCTAAACTTTTACACTGTCACGTACTGCTGAAAGACTCTATGCAAACGACTAATGCGGAAGACACTTAATAAAAAGGCGGTTCCGAAAAACGTCCACGATGCCGTTGGCTCTTATGCCGAGCATTCAATTGACAAGCGAGCCATCGGACCTATTGTACTGATTAATCGGATTCCGTGCCAATAGCTGATAGTATGGCTTTATGCACATGCATTCGTAAGGGAATAAACAGTCCATCTTTTCCACTTTTCTGTGTAATTCCCACTTATATAACTGAGTTACTGATTTGAAAGTATCTTATTAGATTTGCTTTGAATCTGAGAATTGAATGCTTAAATTACTAACATGCTCATCGTTTTTACCGGCCTTTTCCTAAATTTGAGGCTTTCTCCAAAGTTCGTCCTAGCCCTTAGTTCCTGAATCTATAAGCAAATTTAAGTTTGCCTTCCGTTTCGCGAATTCCTTTCACTGGTGTTCATACTAGTGCTCCAAATTATCCGAAATTCCTTTAATTAGTTGCATCTCGGAAAACTGTGAAACTTCACCCTTTGTGCTTACAGCAATAAAGGCCGTAGACAGGAGGAGATAGACATTTGTTTGGATCTCAGGTCATTCGAGAGAAACGCATCACACTTTCTGCCAAAATGCGCTCTTATTCAGTGAAATGTTCAAATGAATCTCATCCCAAGTTTGTATTTGGAGGGGTTTAATAACTGATCCGATATAAGGTAACTGTTAAACTTTTTCGATATGCAAAAGCGGAGCGACTATTTTGCACAATCGTCTAACTGTCCATCTCTTGCAGGCTTTTAACTGAAAAAATGTTCTCCTTTTTGAATTGTTTGTATTTAGGCAGCACCCATTTAAATTTTAGGAAAAACTACAATTTTTCTCGTGTGTAAGACCCATAACCATGGTTAAAAGTACCCAAATATCCATGAATTTTTTGTGCGTCATTTCTCCGGGCTTAGGCTGCAAAACAGAGAAAAATAAAATCTGACACATACACTTAAGACATAATGTTGCGATGATGGATTTCTATTAAGATCATACTTTAGGACAGACATGAGAAAAAGTACAGGTGATTTGTATCCAGAACGAAATTAGAAAAGCAGGCTAAATTTTCGTAATTCTGAATAGAGTTGCGAATTAAGACATCAATGAAAAAGGGATGGTTCACTTGTGCAGCGGAGTGCGAATTACAGGACAACAAAGATGTCAGTGTATAGCGCAGGACAAAACGCATGACCATATAGGGGAAGAAAAATTATTGAATAAAAAGCGAGCAAACGTTGGGTTGGAAAAATGGGAGGAGATGAAAATGTAACGCAGAAGTACGAAGATAAGAATAAGACAACACAAGAACGTCAAAGAGAAAGGTGTAAAAAGCCAGTAAAAGGCACAAGACGTAGAAAAAAACGTAGCAAAAGCTGCTGCAACAAAATTAACTACGCAATGTTATGTTCCTTGATGAAAGGCAGACAGGGTTGCGTTAAATTATACGATACCCAATGATGTGATAATAAATACTTGTTATAATTTCATGGCGACCAAGCAACATAGGGCTTACCGATGACGTATGAAAGAATGAGGTCTCATCCAGATGACGGATGGGACCGTCGACGAAATTAGCAACGTGGACATTTCCAATAACACCGCAGTTATGTTAAGATAATACAATCCGGAATAGATATATATCGTAATGCAAATGTCTGACCACTTGCGCAGAATGAAGTTAAAAGCACGGCTTCTACCAGCAGACGAGAAGAACAGGCAGATATTGTCAAAAAAGGATGCGCACATACAAGTCAAAACTAAACAGCACAGAGGAGAAAAAAATAGACAAACAAATATACGCCCTATGAAAATAAAAAGAAGTGGGAAGAGACAGAAAAGATATAGCGATAGCAAAACGGCAAAGTAAAGCAAGCATACAAAGAATAAAATGCACATTGGACATTGCAGACGACACAAAAGTATTCGCACTAAAGAAACTCACATACAGCAGGCAGATGCTATTAAAAACAACACAGTCTGATCCGAACTCAGCGCTCTTGATTACTTCAGGTGCTGCAGGCGCCCTATCAGCTAGAAAGGCAACAGTCTTTACTGCTAGTAGTCAAGGCACTGGCAAAGACAGTGTCGCTTACTGTACATATTGCTTGCGCGGCGGTAGTGGTGGTGGTGGTGGTGGTGGTGGTGGTGGTGGTGGTGGTGGTGGTGGTGGTGGTGGTGGTGGTGGTGATAATAATGACGTTTGTCCAATGATCCGTAAGAGTGTGCTATATCAGTATCCGCACATCATGAAACTCGCAGCATGCTATTGTTCGGCCGTTTCCTGTCACCTAGTTCCCTGCCGGTAGTTGCGCTTTCACTTCCGCTATGCGCACAGGTGGTGCACATGGCAGCCTACTCATCCTCGTCGCTCTCGCCCCTCTTGGGCTGTGCCTGTTGTTGTTATTGTTATTGTCGTTGTTGTTCTAGCTGGCGAAATATCCTGGTCATTATCTGTGTAGTCCAGGCTGTGTGGTGGCACGCTTAGGTGCGGTTCCGGCCGTGCAAGTAACCTGTGCCCTACTCCCACCGCCGGTCTTATTGACACCGTCTCCAGGAGGGGGGTGATCCGAAAAGACAGTGCGGTAGATGCTGTGCAAGTCCTATACGCCTACAAACTAACTCACACACAAGTCATCGTCCCTGCTCCGGCTTGCTGTGAAGCACACGGTGGACATCGTCCACACCGATGGTCGAAATGTCAGTGCTGATGTTGATGTCTATGTCATTAGGAGGAGCAGGAGCAGGAGCAGGGTCACGAGGAGGTGGAGGAGGAAGAGGAGGATGAGGAGGATGAGTAGGATGAGGAGGAGGAGGAGGAGGATGATGAGTAGGAGGACCAGACATGGTTTGGAGGATCCTGTAATCCCACGACCATCTCGCTGCCTCTACACCTCTTCATACGAAACGGTGCATGCAGTGAGACGCAATATTTCGCCTTAGGAATTATGCTAAATGCTGCAGTCACCAATTCTGGCCTATTGAATCTGACAGTGAAGGTGGTAGCAGTGGAAGTAGTAGTAGCATTAGTAGTAGTATTAGTATTATAACTATTAGTAGTAGTATATATGAGGGCAAATACGCAGGAAGTGCACTTACGTTCTCCTTGGCAGCTGTCTTCGCAAGTGGCTAAGTCGGAACAGTTGTCATCTTCCTCATTGCAGGCTTTGCAGCTCTTGGAATCTTGGTCACATTTGAAGAGTTCTGGTTCGGGGCTGGCAGCTGGTCATTTTGGAGTTGTTGGAAATGGAAGAGATAATATTAGGCTGGAAAATGCACACAACATCTGAATGTGAAATCAACTTCATTGACCTGACGCTTCAGAAGGCCTGCTGAGTAAGGGCATTCGCAAGCAAGCATTCATAGCATAGACTGGCCTTTGCATATTTCGGCATGGGTATGGTATGTAGCCCCCTTGGGCCAGATCCTGGTTAGCTACAAACGTACCATCAACCATGGTCATTCCTTTGGTGGCTAATCTCTAACCTCTAACCATAATGACATCCAATCTCTAACCTGTAAGCAGTTAAGGAGACGACGGACGTAACCACAGCCATAAGCCAACCCTAGCCTCCATCCCCATTTCTAACCAAAACCCAAGCCTCGAAACCCTAATCAGAAGACTTACTCAACTAACACCAATTCTAACCGTTGTCCAAATCCTAACCTTGACTTCCAAATGGGCATCTGTAATGGCGATAAGGCCACTGGAGGTCAAAATCTCCTTCCTGCATGATTCCTCTTGCAATCTACTGCCAGGCAAACCGCTATGAAGCACACCAACCGTACTCCAGGTGAGCTGCATACCCAACCCTTACCTAGATTTCAGCCCAGTCCTCATCATGCCTACTACAGTCATCAGCCTATTTGCTGGCACACTGTGTGCATGCATTGCATTCCTCTGCGACCTCAGCGCACTTACTTACTCCAGCTGCTGCAGGCGCCCTATCAGCTAGAAAGGCAACAGTATTTACTGACAGTAGTCAAGGCACTGACAACGACAGTGCCGTTTCCTGTACATATAGCTTGCGCGGCGTTCGACCGAAGCAATAATCAACATACATGCAGTCTCGGGGCACATTCAGAACGCTGATGGTGCTAATGATGAAGGATTTGTTGTTGTAGTTGTTAATGATGATAATGATGATGATGTTTATGGTGTTGGTGGTGTTGGTGGTGGTGTTGGTGGTGATGATGATGATGATGATGATGTTGTTGATGATGATGATGATGCAAATGCTGATGATGATGCTGCTGCTGCTGATGATGATGATGATGATGATGATGATGATGATGATGATGATGATGATGATGATGATGATGATGATGATGATGATGATGATGATGATGATGATGATGATGATGATGATGATGATGATGATGATGATGATGATGATGATGATGATGATGACTATGATATTTGTCAAATGTTCTGTAAGCGTGTGCTATATCAGTATCAGCAAATCATGAAACTCGCAGTATGGTATTGTTTGGGCGTTTCCTGACACCTGGTTCCCTGCTTGTAGTTGCGCTTTCGCTTCCGCTATGTACACAGGTGGTGCACATTGCTGCCTACACATCCTCGTCGCTCTCGCCCCTCTTGGGTTGTGCCTGTTGTTGTTATTGTTATTGTCTTTGTTGTTCTAGCTGGCGAAATATCCTGGTTAATTTCTGTGTAGTCCTGCGCGTGTTGTGGCACGTCTAGGTGCGGTTCCGGCCGTGCGAGTAACCTGTGCCCTACTCCCACCGCCGGTCTTATTGACACCGTCTCCAGGAGGGGGGTGATCTTAAAAGACAGTGCGGTAGATGCTGTGCAAGTCCTATACGCCTACAAACTAACTCACACACAAGTCATCGTCCCTGCTCCGGCTTGCTGTGATGCACACGGTGGACATCGTCCACACCGATGGTCGAAATGTCAGTGCTGATGTTGATGCCTATGTCATTAGGAGAAGCAGGAGCAGGAGCAGGGTCACGAGGAGGTGGAGGAGGAAGAGGAGTATGAGGAGGAGGAGGAGGATGAGTAGGAGGACCAGACATGGACTGGACGAAGCTGTAAACTCACGACCATCCCGCTGCCTCTACAACTCTTCATACGAAACGGTGCATGCAGTGAGACGCACTATTTCGCCTTAGGACTTATGCCAAATGCTGCAGTCACCAATTCTGAACTATTGATTCTGACAGTGTATGTGGTTGTTTTGGTAGTATTAGTAGTAGTAGTATTAGTATTATAACTATTAGTAGTAGTATATTTGAGGGCAAATACGCAGGAAGTGCACTTACATTCTCCTTGGCAGCTGTCTTCGCAAGTGGCTAAGTCGGAACAGTTGTCATCTTCCTCATTGCAGGCTTTGCAGCTCTTGGAATCTTGGTCACATTTGAAGAGTTCTGGTTCGGGGCTGGCAGCTGGTCATTTTGGAGTTGTTGGAAATGGAAGAGATAATATTAGGCTGGAAAATGCACACAGCATCTGAATGTGAAATCAACTTCATTGACCTGACGCTTCAGAAGGCCTGCTGAGTAGGGGCATTCGCAAGCAAGCATTCATAGCATAGACTGGCCTTTGCATATTTCGGCATGGGTATGGTATGTAGCCCCCTTGGGCCAGATCCTGGTTAGCTACAAACGTACCATCAACCATGGTCATTCCTTTGGTGGCTAATCTCTAACCTCTAACCATAATGACATCCAATCTCTAACCTGTAAGCAGTTAAGGAGACGACGGACGTAACCACAGCCATAAGCCAACCCTAGCCTCCATCCCCATTTCTAACCAAAACCCAAGCCTCGAAACCCTAATCAGAAGACTTACTCAACTAACACCAATTCTAACCGTTGTCCAAATCCTAACCTGGACTTCCAAATGGGCATCTGTAATGGCGATAAGGCAACTGGAGGTCAAAATCTCCTTCCTGCATGATTCCTCTTGCAATCTACTGCCAGGCAAACCGCTATGAAGCACACCAACCGTACTCCAGGTGAGCTGCATACCCAACCCTTACCTAGATTTCAGCCCAGTCCTCATCATGCCTACTACAGTCATCAGCCTATTTGCTGGCACACTGTGTGCATGCATTGCATTCCTCTGCGACCTCAGCGCACTTACTTACTCCAGCTGCTGCAGGCGCCCTATCAGCTAGAAAGGCAACAGTATTTACTGACAGTAGTCAAGGCACTGACAACGACAGTGCCGTTTCCTGTACATATAGCTTGCGCGGCGTTGGACCGAAGCAATAATCAACATACATGCACTCTCGGGGCACATTCAGAACGCTGATGCTGCTAATAATGAAGGTTTTGTTGTTGTAGTTGTCAATGATGATAATGATGATGATGATGATGATGTTTATGGTGTTGGTGGTGGTGGTGGTGGTGATGATGATGATGATGATGATGATGATGATGATGATGATGATGATGATGATGATGATGATGATGATGATGATGATGATGATGATGATGATGATGATGATGATGATGATGATGATGATGATGATGATGATGATGATGATGATGATGATGATGGTGATTATGATATTTTTCAAATGTTCTGTAAGCGTTTGCTATATCAGTATCAGCAAATCATGAAACTCGCAGTATGGTATTGTTTGGTCGTTTCCTGACACCTGGTTCCCTGCCGGTAGTTGCGCTTTCGCTTCCGCTATGTACACAGGTGGTGCACATTGCTGCCTACACATCCTCGTCGCTCTCGCCCCTCTTGGGTTGTGCCTGTTGTTGTTATTGTTATTGTCTTTGTTGTTCTAGCTGGCTAAATATCCTGGTTAATTTCTGTGTAGTCCTGGGCGTGTTGTGGCACGTCTAGGTGCGGTTCCGGCCGTGCGAGTAACCTGTGCCCTACTCCCACCGCCGGTATTATTGACACCGTCTCCAGGAGGTGGGTGATCCGAAAAGACAGTGCGGTAGATGCTGTGCAAGTCCTATACGCCTACAAACTAACTCACACACAAGTCATCGTCCCTGCTCCGGCTTGCTGTGAAGCACACGGTGGACATCGTCCACACCGATGGTCGAAATGTCAGTGCTGATGTTGATGTCTATGTCATTAGGAGGAGCAGGAGCAGGAGCAGGGTCACGAGGAGGTGGAGGAGGAAGAGGAGGATGAGGAGGATGAGTAGGATGAGGAGGAGGAGGAGGAGGATGATGAGTAGGAGGAATAGACATGGTCTGGAGGATGCAGTAATCTCACGACCATCTCGCTGCCTCTACACCTCTTCATACGAAACGGTGCATGCAGTGAGACGCAATATTTCGCCTTAGGACTTATGCAAAATGATGCAGTCACATATTCTGGCCTATTGATTCTGACGGTGTAGGTGGTTGTAGTGTTAGTATTAATGAGTAGTAGTAGTAGTAGTAGAATTAGTAGTAGTAGTAGTAGCATTAGTAGTCGTAGTAGTAGCATAAGTATTAGTAGTAGTATAGTGAGGGCAAATACGCAGGTAGTGCACTTACGTTCTCCTTGGCAGCTGTCTTCGCAAGTGGCTAAGTCGGAACAGTTGTCATCTTCCTCATTGCAGGCTTTGCAGCTCTTGGAATCTTGGTCACATTTGAAGAGTTCTGGTTCGGGGCTGGCAGCTGGTCATTTTGGAGTTGTTGGAAATGGAAGAGATAATATTAGGCTGGAAAATGCACACAGCATCTGAATGTGAAATCAACTTCATTGACCTGACGCTTCAGAAGGCCTGCTGAGTAGGGGCATTCGCAAGCAAGCATTCATAGCATAGACTGGCCTTTGCATATTTCGGCATGGGTATGGTATGTAGCCCCCTTGGGCCAGATCCTGGTTAGCTACAAACGTACCATCAACCATGGTCATTCCTTTGGTGGCTAATCTCTAACCTCTAACCATAATGACATCCATTTTCTCATCTTGTATCTTTGGTTTATTCTTCGGTCACATTTGATGATTTATGATTTTGATCTTTCGTCTTTTTTTAACCCCTTTTTTACCCCTTGCCTTTCTGTATTATTCGGTTGGAAATTTTTCGTTTTGTCTTCTTTTTTTTCTTGACGTTTTTTCGTTGAATTTCTCGTTCTCAAATTTTGAATTATTAATTTTTTTCTTCTTATTTTTTTTGCAGTGTACCTTTTTCTGTCTTTCTGCCCTGTTGTACCTTTGTGCAATTTTTATACTTTCGCTGCTTTCACTTTGATTATTTTTTTGTTTTTTCATCTTCTCCTCGTTTCTTTTATGTATATATATTTTGTCATGCACGGAAACTATCCATGCATGTTCTTTTTGTCTTTTTTCTAGATGCTGGTTTTCAGGGACTTTCGTCTTATTAGCATTTATTGTACATTTTGGAACTTTTTGATTTGCGTCCTTGAGTCAAACATTTATATTTAGGTCTACTTGCTCCTAATTGTGTCAGGCCTCAATGTTCTTTTTATTTTGTAAACAAGCTTATTGAATTTTCGTGCGCATTTTAAATTTTTAATGCATTTTATTATTTTTTGAATGCAGTTTGCCGAGTGCGTTTGATATAGTTGACTGAAATCAGCATATTCAATTTTCGCAACTCTGACATATCTGGAGTGTCACGGGATTTTGATTAACGTTTCATGCAATATCCACTGTCGGTCTGTTGTTTTTTTCGCTGTTTTTTTATTTTCTTTATTCTATGTGCTTGGTTTTTCGTCTTTTTACCCCATGATTGCTCAATCTCCTACGGTTGCTTACTTTTAATTTTGTCTTCTTTTTGCGGGTGATTATTTCACATACACACTACATTCAAAATTTGAATAAATTATCTTTACATATTAATGGTTAGGGCCTACCTCCACCGTTTCCGCAGTCCATGTAGCATTTCTCTAATACATCACTCGGTTCTTTTTCCTCCGGTTGAGTAAAGAATAGAGAGTCAATACACTGACGGGAACTGGGATTGCACACGTACATATAATTCTGATGCGTTTGGTTTTCTGAAGGAAGTAAAATGTTAAGTTATTAACCGTGAAAAGCGATATCTTTCGGATAATAACAAAATAAGTATTTTACCTGTTTTTGTTACTTGGCATTCGACGTAGCATTTCATGAACGCTTCAACGGTTCCTTTGGTGTTTGGAAAGGTGAAGCAATTGTATATCAATTGCGTGCAGATATTTGCTGCGAGTGATACCTTTCCATCGTCTACAGTCAAAAGACGAAATAATTTTGAAAATACTTTGCATAATTTATTGCGTTTATATTGCAGAACGCATGGCCAACATAATAATGCATCATGATCCATGATAATATATTAAATGGATAACCTCATAATATTTTTACCAAGATTCTGAAATGCGTCTTCGGTTCGAAAAATCAATAAAGTTGGGTTGTAAAACTAATCATCGCGCAGGATAATTCTATAGAAATTCAGTTGCTTCAGCATGTCGGCTTTCAAAATAACTTCTTTCTGGATGGAGGCAAACCCTTACTCTTTTAAAAATGACTACTCATGTAACATGCATTTTTCTCGTTGACTGTCGATGCCCTGAAATATTCAATCATATTTCATTGAAAAATGCTGTTCGGTAGTAAGTCGCGTCTTCATCCGATTTTATACTCAAAGGTTTTGAAAAGTTTCTATTAATGATAATTTTTGATACCGTGAGATGGCTGCTCATAAAACGTCACGTCTCTGCGTCCACCTATGGGGCTTATAAAGTAAACAATATGGCTCAAATTCTCTGCCAAATTTTATGAACCCCATATAGCTTCCTCCTAATACTACGGAGAAATGCATGGTTTCCCGTACGCAGAAAATATGTGGATTGAATTCTGTAAACTCTGAATGCAGGTTTAACTGCATGCCGGGTTTTAAATTTGTCGGAAATTCGAGAAGTTTTTGAAAACAGAATAATACCCTTCCTTTAAGAATAAAATCGAAGGAAGACGCAATTTTCAAACGAATGGGCAAAAGGATGAATATTTTCATGCATGTTTTCCGTGAAGTATGATTGAATATTTAAGGACATCGAATGTCAATAAGAAAATGCGTGCTATATAAGTAGTCATTTCTTACAGAGTATGGTTTTTGTTTGCATCCTGAAAGAAGTTATTTCGAAAGCCGACATCCTGAGTCAACTGAATTTCTGTAGAATTATCCTTCGCGATGATTAGTTGTACAACCCTCCTTAAATAAACTTTTCGAAACGAAGACGCTTTTCGGAATTTCGGTTGATATTTCATGAGTTTTCCCATCTACTCCACCTCACTGTAAGTATGCGTTGTTTGCGTACTTAATTGGGCGAACTCCCTTTTCCAATATTTTTTTCAGTAAAGGGGTGTGATAAAAAACAGGATACTGCCTTACCGTTGGTAAGCAAATGGCAAACTTCCAGACATTGAGTCCACTCAAGGAAATGATTCAAATACGATGGTATGTAGTAGAATGTCAGTGCAGTGCAGGGAGTGTAGTAATCGACACAGGAGTACGCCTGAGTCGGTTTTGCCCCAGGCACTAAAAAGCATGAAATACTGCTTATATTTCATCAGTGTAAAAGCGTTTCAATAGGTGTTTTTAAACAAGCCAACCTTTTTTGAAATCGCAGGCCTTCAAGCACTGGTGAAACGAGGAGAAGTTATCGTTCTTATTGAAAAATCCCACACAACCCATGTAGGGTTGCTCGCAAATGCTGATGTGTTCCGCTTGTCGAGAAGAACCTCGAGAAAATAATATACGACGTAATCACATGTTTGTCAGTAAGACTCACTTCATCTGCGCTACGGCTCGCAAACCACCCATAAGGTTAGTCGTAGGATCCATTACGTTCAAAAGGAAAGGGACATTAAAATGTATTACCTTATTTACAAACTAAAACTCGTATTGGTGGCTTCAGGTAGTCGGTCAACTGGTAACAAATTAAAATGAAGTTTAGTGTCGTTCCATTTTCAAAGTAAACGAACGAGTATTATCGATGAGACAAATATTCCTTCATTAAATTCATATGATAATTGCGTAGATCACTTATCCGGTCAGGAGTTTAGTAAGAGTCTCTTTTGATTCCTCAATATTGTGGTTTTTCGATTTCTTTGCAAATAAATGATTCATGTGATTCGTTTCTAATTTTTTTCGCGGTTAAAAATAAGTAGATATAAAATAAATCTTAATAATATTACTCCAGTCTATAACAAGATATTTTTTAGCATTGGATATATTTGGAATGCTAATGTATTAAGAGTATTTCTTTGTTTTTACACCGAAATATCTAGGTTAAACTGATGTGAAAATAATTCTAAGTCAACTTCTGAGTAATTTGCAACACATTGACTTAAAGTTCTGCGAACGCGCATGTATGCTCGGGTAATTTATATTAATTGTGGATTGAGTGGAATTGACAGTACATCCTGAACCATGTACAGCCATGTTTGTGAGTGAGCGTCGGGGTCATGCTAAGTAACGGTTGCTGCGTTTGTCTATCCTCTGAATACTTACAGCCTATAAGGGTTGTGAAAATTGCGCAAGAGAAAACATTGTCTCCAAAATGAACGAAACGCTCAACGGAAATACTGATTTCACTACTGAGTCGCGTTTCTAAAAATAACGCATGCTTCATGATAAGGTATCGAAAAACATGATCATTAAGACCTAGGCATGAAAAAGGCCTCGGTCAACATACCCGACATTAAAAGCACAACAGTGAGCACTGCGCACACGTAAGGTGATGCCATGGCAAATGTGCTGTCTACCGCAGAGCAAAAGGCCGCTTTATATACGCGTGTGATTATTTGTTTTCCTCGTAGGAAAGTACTACTGGTTTTTGGGCTGGCTGCACGCACTCGTGTTACGAACGGACAGCGGCCTCTGAGGAAAAAACTTAACCCATTACCGATTTTGAGGACTTAAGCATGAAGCATAAACAAAAATGTCTGTCATGGGGATATTTAGGAAATGAAATAGTTTCGTGGATCTGAAAAATGCACGAGCATCAAATAACTCTCGGAGGACAGTACTTTTGCAGTGAAAATAAATCCACTGATTTAAGTGTGCTCGTGTGAGGAATTTACAAAATGTTCGGCTTTATTATTTAAAGGTGTACCTAACAAATGCAAACAATGTTCATTTTTGTTGATTAACCGACTTTATTGTCTTAAAAATTAATCAAAGCACACACTTTGGAAAAATGCCGCAAGCGCTGGCAGCATTCTGAAAATGAGACCATTACTTTGTCGTTTTATATTTAGGTGTTACTATCTCGTTGCATATTTCAAATCAAGGTCGTTCAATAGAATATTCATATGCTTAGCCTTCATTGAACCTAAATTGTTCGTAGTAATTTTGACCTCATCATGTTGAGTGCTACCTGCCACGCTACAAACGCCCAGATTCCTGTAGAAACGTCTATTGCGATGCGTTCTTAGTCTATTTGAAAAGCATGGACACTTTCGTAAATAGCTATGATCCCCACTTATATTTGTCTGATAACAATATGAATTTAATGAATGTTTCGAGTCATTGCGCGGCTCTAACGCCTAAATGTTATTTTTTGACCTATTTGGTGCATACAGCTTGAATTTTTCTGTTTCAGTTGCTACCTTAAACTTTGTGTAATCTATCTAACAGAAGATTAAGAAAACGTATAACCTTATGTATATAGCCCTTGGGTATGCAAACAGGCACCAAGATTGGGTAATTTTAATTCGTTTTCGGTTAAAATAACTTGCCTATTAGTTAAGGTTAGCTCAGTAAACCAAGAACGCATAACCGTCTTAGACTATATTATACAAAGTCACGTTGGCTGAATTCGAAGTTTGATTATTTAACCGAAAAATGGGCACCGTTCGTAATGTCATACGGACCAAAACTATCTGTTTGCTTTACATGCGAAACTGATTTGTATTCTCTGTATATTTATGGCTGTTATACGATGATTTTATCCACACCGAATTAAACAAGGAACACGGTATTTAAACATGTGATGTGAACCTGGAAATGGACGTACGTGGTCCATGATAGTCATTAGGACGGATTGCATCATACGAAATTCGCCGCCGTCCTCCTTCACAATGGTTTCAACATGACAAAAGGCCGCTTATTTTTACCACGGAAGTTCGTGCTGCAAAGTCACTTTATTCAGGTTCGTCGAAGTGCAATTTCCGGAATGACTTCATCGGTACACAGTCGTTGAAAACACATTGTAAATATCACCCTTTATATACTTAAAATATATATATTGGGTTAAAATTATCCAAACTTGTATTTTTTTAGTAATCCTTGATCCTCACCAAGTGTTTACCCCGTAGTTCATCTGACACATTCGAAGAGGGCAGTATTTTTGTTAACACCCATTATTTTAAGGGGATATTGCCTGACATTGGTAGGAATCTGGAAGGAAATTATGGACACCCGCGGCAGCGTATCGTTAACCGTCAGTTACGAACTTCGCATAAATTAAAAGTTGTATTTCTGGTTTTTGCAAACGTTATTCGTAACCAAATACTAGTTATGTACTCGTAGGTTGGGAGTAAATAAGCATAGGCGTTCACTTGTAAGTACCCACAATATCTCCGAGAAGCTGTTTATGTAAGACAACCGATGCATATCACTCCTTTTTTCGTAGTCTGCGAGGCATGTCTTCTTCCAATTAGTACTGAGAGTAGTTCACAATCTTATGATAATTTTTGCCAGTACATGCGTATTCAGTGCGGCTGTCCACAGCAGGTCGTATCTAAGGCTTGCAAATAAACGACCGGATTGGTAGATAGGCAGTTATTGAGTTGATTGCATTTCTTTGTGCGAACCGCAAACGCTTAGTCGATGCAAAATTGTGTGTATGTCGGATATCCTTTATGATATCCCCTCAAGCCCACTGGCAAAAATAATTAAAAAGTTTTAAAACCAGCCTGATGCTAAGAGTATAAATAACCTTCATCATGAATTTACCAAAAAAAGCAAACTGCACACTGCGGGCCAACGTCACCGTGATGTAAATGCGCACTCGCTTAATTATAAGTTATTATGTTCGAAAGGCCCTTGCACCATTGGTACACAACGTTAAATACACTGAAAGCAGCTCTACCTACAGTCGTAAAAACCTCCTGGGAACCTGGCATACCCGTCCCATTTGCATACGTTTTTGGGGCTTGCTGATTATTATTTCGAGTATATCCCAAGTTGCTTGACAGATTTTGAGCAAAAATAATATTAGAAAGACTCACTTTGCACATCAGTAATTAAAATGTTGAAACCTCCAGTGTCTGTTTGGAAAACCAGAAATTTATGTAGTAGTAATACAAAACAAGTATGTAAATTCCAAGCGAAAAAAGTTGACCAAAGATACTGGAAACAATGGGGGCAAGGTTTGAGCTTCCATTGTCTCGGCGGTGGCAATTGATCCTGATATCCGCCGATGCATGAACGGGCGAAAAGCGACAGAAAAAAGACAGTTCTTTCCCGTGAGCGAATTATTGATTTTGACTGTATCTTGCGAACATGTACCTCTTATAATGGAGGTTAGCAGATTAAAAGAGTTTGGTTGGCCTCAAAATAGGTCAGTGACCGACCTCATGGAATATAATCCGAAATTCTAAAATGCGTTTTACGTTTAGGAAGAAATACTTTGGTGGGGTTATAATATTAATCATCACGCAGCATAATCACGCAATCTTTCGGAGTCTTAAAATGTTGGATTTCGAATGGACTTCTTTTCACCCTCCTGAAAAAAATGCATTCGACGTAAAATGAATGCTTCAGCATCATGCGTTCCTAACATTGATATTCTATACCCATTTAAATTCATGTACATTTTATCGAAAATATGCACGAATATATGTTCTCACTTATTCGTTTAGTAGCCAGTTATGTTATCGTTACACTCTATGCTCGTGAAAAGAGAACCTGTCAGTTTATTAAAGTTTTTAATTCTTAAAGTTTTTAAGACCGTGCAATGCCAATTTATACAATGCCGAGCACGCCCGTTTATAATGCTGCTTATGAATTACACAATACGTTCCGCTATTTCGCAAAATTTTCTGAGCCCTGCATGGTATTTTTGAATGCCAGAGTGGAGTGTATGATTCTTTCTGCATGGAAAATATACGTTTTAAACTGAAATTTCTAAACGCTAGAACAACAATCGCCCTCGCACAAGATCATTAGCAAATCGAAAAGGCTTTTTCAAAACCTAAGTATGCCCATTATTCGAGTTGAAAATGCAAATAGAACGTGAATTTTTACATGATACGTGAGGGATAGCATAATTCTGTGGATTCTTTTATAAAAATATTCGAATCCATTAGGCCATTGAAAATCAGTGTGAACATGCACATTATTAAGTTATCATTTTTCACTGAGTGTTGTTTCTACGGGAGGTCGCAAATAAGTGCGTCCATAGGTTAGCGTTCTGGGATTCCGAAACAGTCCCAACTAAGTAATCCTCCCTAATCAAAACCCCACTTCAGTACCTTGACTAACATTTCATGCGATCGGTCGCTCACTGCACATTGCAATTTGACAGTATCTGCCCAAAGTTCGTTCAGATCCTTACTATATCGGTTATATACGAAGTACTAAAAGGACTTAGGAGCTGATCTCTGCCTTAGGTCTGCAGATGTGAAAGTGGAGACTGATGACCAGGTTAAAGCACCCCTCCTTTCCGACTTCTTTCAGTCCATCTT